ATATTAAGCCCTCAGTGAGCACAGCTATCACTCAGGATGACGCTGCCTGGTGTCTGCAGGGTGACGGGTTCAGCGGCTACCTTCTGAAAGAGATAAAAAGACGTGTTTGCACCGAGGCCGCCTTAAGCAAACAGTTACTAATAAAATGTACGCTTATATTGAACTTTACCTGCAGACTGTGCTGTAAATCACACATTCATCATCATCATCATCATCTGGGCAGTCCATTTTCTTCACCCTGCAGGGGATGCAATTCATAAGAGACTTTGATGCAACATAAATGAGAAATAGTTTGTAGCTTTATAACATTTTTTTCTCACATGTCTGTTTTTCTGTTGATGGTAACAGCTGCATAAACAAGTTCTCCCTCGTGTTGCTCGTCAGGTGTTTGGTCTTTGTTCATCCAGTTGGCGTAGGTGGGATTCTAAACAAAACATAAGTTAGACTAAAAATTATCTTTGTCCTGAAAAAAAAAACCCAATATGAATCCCAGTTTGCCTTTTTCACATATTTGCTCAGTCTTGCAGTGCCCAGGAACATTCCTCAGTGAAATAATGAAAACAGGGTTAAGCTTTGAGAGTCTCACCTGTGTGTGCACCTCACCCTCTGTTGTAGGTACTTTGGACTTTTTCTTGAACATTCTGAAAGAGACTTTTTAGCGTCATTTATGTGTCTAACACAAAAAGGTTTTATTGAGGGCCGCTTACCTTCGGATCATGGAAACTAAAATGATCAAAGCCAGAAGCGTGGTAACAAACGCAGCAATGATGACTACGTTTCTGATAAATGTCACCTTAACCTCTGAAGGAAAAAAATGGAAAGATTCTATTTTTAAAATAGTGAAATTAAGATATGTACTTTTCGTGTTTTTTTCTAACTGATTTCAAACTATAATTTAATTGACCTCTATTGTATTAAAGGCACAGTGTGTAGGATTTGTTGTTTTCAGCGACATCTAGTGGTTGAGTGGTTGAATCATCCTCCCAGGTCCTGCCCCCACCCTCAACCCCCGCTTCCAAACGCAAAGGTGTCCTACGGTGTCTCTCAGGTGTCAAAAAGTGATGTTTCAAGTGGTAAGATTATGAGCTTTAATAAGTAAAATTATCCCAGCTACAATGACAGACAACAAATATTACATTTATAGTGTGGTATATTTTATGTCCTATCCCTTTAAGAAACGTGAACGAGCGTCAGACCGTCAGCGCGTCGGACC